TCATAGGCATACCCCATTATTTGCATCTGTTTGACTTTAACATCTATGTGTGGTCTAGAGTGGGGAGGAGCTCTTTATTTACTGTTCTGCTTTTTAAAATTTTGGCCAGGAAACAACCAAATGACTGAAGTGCTCCCTCAGTGTCCTCTGCGGTCTCTGTCGGCATCCCTGGTACTGGACAGCGCCTCTGGGAAGCTCTACAGAGCGGTCCTTGACCCATCTGGCTTGCTGCAGTTCCTGCGGGCCGCCCGGCTGGACTGCGAGAGGATGGCCGTGTTGCACTGCCTGCTGGCCTGTGGCCGGCCCCTGCAGCCTCTGGAGACCCAGGTGGGGTGTGGCTCGCATCCATTTCCCGGCACTTGGGCAGCACCCACTGGATTTACTCCTTGTTAGAATGACCACATGTTACTTTTATTTGGTACCAATTAGGTGAGGATTGCAGCCTTTGTCTTAAACATGTTTTTCCTCCAAGCTTCTTTGCTCTGGACTTTGAGTACAGTACTCACTCCTCCATTCATGGTTTTCTTTGCTCCAATTTCATTTACCCCATATAGACTGTGGTCTGAAAATACTAAATGGAAAATTCCAGAAATAATTTGGAAGTGTGAAGTTGCACACCATCCCAGATAGTGCCATCAAATCCCCACCACCCTGCTCTCTGCTGGATCATCCCCGTGTCTAGTCAGCCCCGCAGCACACGCTCCCTGCTCAGTGGTCACTTAGGAGCCGTCTTGGTCCCCGGCTTGACTGCTTAGTCTTGCAGCATGTTGCGCTCAGGTGCTCTTACTTAAAGGCCTCCACGCGCGCGAATGGCTCCGCTGGTAATCCAGAGAAACCCTGAGTGTTTCCTTGCAATGAGAAAATGAAAATCCTTGACTCACACAGGAACTAAAGAATTGCATGCTCGTGTTGCTATCTGTGATTTCAGGTGTCCTGGGGTAGTCTTGGAAGAGAAGGGGGCCACTGCCCTCTTCCATGTTGTGAATGAAATTTAGTATAGTGGTAATGTCCCAGGAAAGTGCTCAGTACATAATGAGCTTCTCACATAATTTGGTTTTTTCCCCATTCTATAATTGGGATAAATACATTATCAAAAGGACTGAAACATTATGGCAAATATTTATTACATTTCTAATAGAGGTAATTTATATTTGTAATGTATGGTATACTCTATGAAACATTTTTCACAACTCTATTTGTACAGTCATCCTGTGACATCAGAAAAATCCTGTTATCAGACTTGGTTGGAACCAATGGTTAGATAATTAATTTAAAAAAGATGAGATGTTTTATTTTATCCTAAACAATATACATTTATTTTCCTATCTTTGGATGTAGGATAAGATCCTTTTTTGTGAGTCTTTTAACTGGAGTTCAAAGACATTTTTCTTGCATAAACCATTTGTAATGTGTTATTGCTAACTTGCTGTTACATACTTTCTGAAAAATTTTAACTCCAAGTATATCAGTAATTACCTTTCCAAGGCAATTTTTGTATATCAGGCATTTTTTTAAAAAAATCAGGCATTTTACAACACAATCTGTCATTAGCTTTTTGGCATTTTTAGAGACTTGTCTTGGTGAGCTTTTGTTACTGTGATAAGATAACTGAGAAAAGCAACTTCAGGGAAGAAAGATTGACCTTGGCTCACGGTGCCAGAGGTTGCAGTCCATGGTCTGCCAGTCCCCAGACGGAAGCATCATGGCGGAAGGTGTGGCACAAGGAAGCCGCTCACCTCCCTCAGCCAAAGAGAGAAAGGGAAGGTGCTGGAGGGAAGATGTGCCCTTCCAGGGCCCTTCCCCCAGCGGGGCTTCACCTCTGCAAGCCCCCTCATGGGTTCATCTACTGATGAGTCAGTGCCCCATTGTCCAGTTGCCTTCTAGAAGCCCCAGACTTGAACCTAGGAGATTTCAGGGGGCCCTTTTAGATCTGAACCGTAACACATGTCTTTGAGTCTTGCCAAACCATTCAACTTTTATTGACTCAATAACATTCTTTTTGCATCTATATTTCACTTGTCTATATACTTCTATAAAGTGACCTAATTGTAAAAGTGAACAGAAGTGGTCTAAACACCTTGCTGGTAGGAGCAGAGACGTGAGCGAGTGCACTGGGCTGGCCAGGTCCTGCCTGTGCGTCACACTGTAGGTGGGAAACGAGACGCTTCCCTTCTCCCATGGGTGAGGGCTGCCACAGGGATGATGAGAGTTGCTATAAGTGGGGCTGTCTGTCCCTGGTGAGGGCATTATGGTGTGGCCCCAAGGGACGACGTGGTCTGACGGTGCTCACACTGGTGACTGAGTTAGAGTTCAAACCCAGGTTGCTGCCGGTAGTCCTTGTGGTTTTGCCTTGACCTGTTTGCTCCTGTGTCCACATCTGGCCCTGCTGGTTCTTTGTATAACGTAGTCCCGTCTAGCAGAAATGAACATTGCATTGGGAAAGTTTTATTTGGGTTCCACTCAAGGGCATTTATTCAAATGACGTGTAACAAGGATATTATTTATATTACTATTTCATCCACTTACAGCTACCTTATATCTCTTGTGCTCCTAGGTAATTCCAAAATAGATATAGAATTTAAAATATGAATTAATATCATCTGCATATATGTACTTCTTTGTGGGCAAGGGTGGTGTGCAGATTGAAATGCTAACTGTTCTGTTGTCTTGGTAAAGATTATCCAGTGGATTTCTGAGAATGTCTCCACCTGCCATTCCTTTGACCTTGTTCAGGAATTTATCATTGGTAAGTGTGGCAGCCGCAGCCTTGACCCTTTTGATCGGCGGAAAGCAAGACTGTCAAAGTGCTGCTAGCGCACACTATTTTTTTTCAAAGCCTATTGCAGTCAGTAGCTAATTAAATTTCACTCTCTTGTGGTTTTGTGAGAAACTGTGGCTTTCGGAGACTGATGAGAAATAAGATAGGATTTTGATTTTATAACTTTAATATGATTTTTTCCCCTCATTTAAATGTAGCTTTTTAGCCTAGTTTTATGTCGGCTGACGGCTGAGTGGGACCCCACCAGAAATTGATATAGTGTCATTTGGACAGACGTAATACCAAATAAAAAAAAAGAGAAATGATTCATATTGTAAAAAGCAGAACCTAAGCATTTTAGTGAGTAGATAAAATCATGCTGGTTAGCCATTTGAAGGTGAAGAATAAAGCAGTAAAACCTTTTGTTGGTTTGCTTGATTTGGTTGAATTATGCTGTCAGTTTCTTTGTTCTTATTAAATCATGTCTCTTTTCACTCTTTCAAAACCCCGCCCAGCTTCTTCATATTGGAGCGTGTATCCGGAGAAAAGTAACGTGGACACCCTTGTGCAGTATTCTTCGGTGTGTGCTTGGGATAGAGTAAGTTCACACTTGGCATTCTGCATGCAGTGAAAACCCACCCTCAGTTTTTGGGGCGAGTACCTTGGGTTATAATTTCACTTCTGTTTTGACTGATAAGGAACCGAGCTGGAATTTTCTAGAAAAATCTAGCATCTCTCATCTGAAAATCTGAAATGTCCTAAACTCTGAAACTTTGGAACAGCAACATGATATGCACCCCCTCCCCGTGCAAAATTCCATGCCTGACCTCACCACACCAGATTCAAGAGGAAAGGAACAATATTTTGGCTCAACTCTTTCTAACTTATGAGAAAGGCACACTAAAAATAATGTGTAATATCATTTTCAGGCTATGCCTGTACGGTCTACCTGAAACAAATGGATTTTATATTTAGATTTAGGTCCTGTCTCTAAGGTATCTTACCACATATGTCCAAATATTCCAAAATCTGAAAAATAAATCCCAAATCTGAAATACTGTTTGGAGATACTAAACCAGTTGTGTGTCCCTGCTGTTGGCCGGAAGTGCTGCTATAAAGCAGAAGGACTGAAGGAGAAGGTATAGGAAGTTGTTCCTCCCTTTCCTACCAGGCAGAGCTAAACCTCTTTAAGGGATTTTTATGAAATGATATTTTAGTTTTGTATTGGCTACAGTGAATTATGGTGTTTATTAGTTTTATAGAAATAAGAGAAAGCTAAACTACTACAGTCGTACTTAGTGGATTAGGACATTCATGACCCCTTTTCTCAGCCTCATAAAGAAAATGTGTAAGGAGAAACTTCAAAATCGAGAGAAGTCGGCAGTTGGGCAGATTCGCCCCGTTTCACCTCTCTTCCTTTCCCTCTGGTCTCTTTCCTCCTAAACTTCTAGGAGGAGCTGAGCTGAAACAGTTTCTTTGCTCTTGAGTGTGGTGTGGTGAGCTGAGCCTCTGGCCAGCAAGAGGAAGAAGCTGCAAAGCTGGGGCCTGAAAGGATGCTGCTGCTTTGCTGTTAGCACTGGAAGTACGTTTAGTGTAAGGTGGTAGTTGTATTAGAAAGGTAGTTAGAACAAGAGATTTAATTTGGTTAGTGCACACATAGGAAACAATGTAGTAGAAGAAACTGTGACTCTTTGTATTTAGATTACATACAGTCCTTCACAAAGACATATCAAGTGTGTTTGATGACTTTTTTCAATTTTTGGTGTATGTGAGAGTGGTGTTCCCCAGTCCCCTCCCTGTGGGGCTCTTCCTTCCTGTCAGAGTGACTGGCAAGTCACTGTAGAGGAGAGACGTGAGCATGACCCTTCTTGAGGCACCCACCTTTTTCTTTAAGAGCATACTGTGAATGCACAGGCAGACTGCGGTTCTGTGGCAGGAAGTCTAGGTTACACCACTCTGGGGTCAGGAAGTGTGCATCTCAGCTTCCTCCTTCGCACCTACTGCCTTTCTGTCCTGCGTTTAGTGTCAAGGGGGCAGAGCGGGGACCACCGTTCCCAGGGTCCCATGCACTGATGGGATGAGGGCATTGTCCTCTGGGCAGGGCTTCACTTCTGACTTTTGAAAGCTCTGTGGGGTTCAGGAGCCATGGTGAGAACCATTTTTTTTTTTTTTTAATTCTTTTGATAAAGGTTTCACTACGTAGTTCAAACTCAGTGATCCTCCTGTCTCAGCCTCCCCAGGGCTGGGATGATAGGCATGAACCACCACACTTGGTTCCAGGACCAGCACAGCATGGGATACCAGGGATCCAAAGGTACAAAAATGTCATACAGAGTGACACCAAGAAGTCCCACAAGAACAGTGTAAAGAAACCCACATTTATAACCTCCATCTGCCAGGCGTATTTTGGGGTTTACCATGTTGCTTTAAAACTTCTTGTGGTTGGAATAGGTTTCTTGAAAGGCCTCTTGAATTCTGAAGTTCTGGGAGTTTATGTTATCTTTAGAAAGGATATAAAACATTTACTTTTCTCTCCTGTAATCCACAATTGCTGTTAATGCTGCCACTTAATATAAAACTTCCTACAGTCATAAAACATCTAGCACATACTTCCAAATGGGAAACAACAGACTTAGTTTTCTTAAAAGATTCTAGAAAAGATGTCTAGGTGCTCTCAGGCCTCGACAGACTTGAACTGCGTTTTGGAAGCAATGATGGCTATTGTAAAATGCCACTCTGACCTCTGTTTTAAAAGTGCCTTCCTACCTCCACCTGTGGTGCCCTTTGCAGTGTCCCCTGCCGGATGGGAGTGGTCACAGGGTCTTACGTAGGTTTTCTGTGGCCACACAGAAAGCTCAGTTGCTCGAAAGTTCTGAAAATGCTTTTTCTCCATTGCTGTGAGCCTGCCCTGTACCTTATGCCAGCCCAAAGCAGGTCATTTAAACTCTAAATGAATCCCAATTCCTAGTGTTAGATAGCGCTTCCTCAATTATTTTCTTACATGGTATTTGCTGTTTTGGGGGAGGGTCTGAGTTTATTTTATTTTTTATGTTTTACTTTATTTCATTTTTTTGTATTTTAGGGAATAGTCTACAGGGTGGTCTGGATCTCACTACTAGATAGGACTCATAGTGATTCTCCTGTTTACAGCCTCCCAAGAGCTGGGATTATAGGCATGCGCCACCACGCCCATTCTCAATCGTCATCTCAGCCCAGGGATCAAACTTCCAGCCCCTGCACCTGCTTGCAGGCACTTTAATTTGCTGAGCTATTTGGCTGGCCCTTAGTTTTTATATTTTAAAGAGAATGCAAAGGCCGGGGAGATAGTTTGGTGGCATAAGTGCCTGCCTGGCAAGTGCAAGGTCCCAAGTTAGATCCCTGGTACCCCACGCCGTGCTGGCCTTGTGTCTTAGTTACTCTTCTCTCGCTGGTGGAACAAATACCTGATACTCAAAATGAAGGAAAGAAAGGTTTATTTAGCTCACAGTTACTGGAGGTTTCATAGTTTAAAACAGCCTGAATTACTTAGCAAGATCTCAGAGCTTTATTTGCTTAGAAGAGAGGGTCAGTGCCTCTGTCTTCTCCCAACATCTCTCTGCCTGAGGCGGCCTCACTCGCAGACACTGCTGCCCTGCACTACGGGGTCTGGAGGAGAGGCTCGGGTGCCGCTGCGTCCAGGATGAGCCTCTCCACACCTCCGAGACCATCAGGCCTGGGGGTGGGACAGAACACACACTGCCACCTTAATAGTGCGTGCCTCTGGCCCCGCCCCTCAAGCCACTCCCTCTTGCTTGTCCTCCGTTGGCATCTACCCCATGACTTACATGAGGCTTTGGGAGGACAACTAAACACAAACCATAATACTCTGGAACCTAGTGTGGAAGCTCATGTCTGTAATCCTAGCACTGGGGAGGCTGAGACAGGAGGATCACTACTAGCCTGAACTGCCCCCAGGGCACGCTGAGATGGCAATTGAGACTGGGCGTGGTGGTGCGTGCAGTAATGGGCTGTAAACAGGAGAATCACTGTACTATGAGTCTGATCTAGTAGTGAGACCCTGACTACCCTGTAGACCATTCCCTAAGATACAAATAAAATAAGATACAATATAAATATACATAGTGAAACTTTGTATCACAAGAATTTTAAAAGCATACAAAATGGCACAAAAACCATTAGCAATCACACAGAATTTCACTAAACAAAATAATAGGAATTTGACAATGGTGATGTATTACATAATAATATCTTCAAATTAGTTTAGATTACCAGATATAAAATACAAAATTGGAAAAAGAAAAACAAAAAAATTAAGCATGAACTGTTCCTTTTAATAGACCAGCAGAAACCAGCAGTACAATTAGCCAAATCATCCTGCTTATGTACATAAAGATATCTTTTTCCCTTCTCTCTTTTCTTCTTTTCCTCATCCCAGTTTTTTCTTCCACTGAACAAATTCTTTCCCTTTCACGGTGTCTGTTGCACCTTTCAGATTTTATCTTCTTTTTCAGGTGCTTACACTAGTGAGACAATATGAGGTTTGCACATACAGGTCTGGTTTGTTTCACTTATGACTGTGGTGTCTAGTTGCATCCGTTTATCTATGAAAGCCTCCAGTTTATCTTTCTTAATAGCTGAGTAATAGGGAGGGTCTGAATTGGTGGGAGGAGAAGCTAATTATAGTTGCCACGGAGACACAGTCTCCGAAATAACAGTGGGCGGAGCTCCGTGCTGGCGGAGGAGTCTGCGTAAACTTCTCGCGGAGCTCTTGGCTGTGCAGTCGTGCCCGACGGCTTGGCGAGAGGAGCTCCGGTTCAAGGCGCGGAGCACCCCTGCTGGCTCTGGCTCCTTCTCTCGAAGCCTAGGCGGACTGCAGCGCGTGTGAGCGATGGAGAAGGAGGCAGATAAGGGAACGTGTCTCTTTTGGGGATCACCTGTGAAGTGCAAATAGGATTTGCCTCCTTTGTTCTTAATGAAGATGTGCAAAACAAAACAAAACAAAACAAAACAAAAAAAAACAAAACCAAAAAACAAAACAGCGTTCAGCCAGGTGTTTTCATCCCTTTACAATCATTTCTATCTCTTTATAGACCTCACCAACTATTATTTAAAGAAAATAAATTTAACCCCCCCTCCAAACCTTGGCCCCGAGTTTATTTAAAGGAGGCCAGAAACTGGAAGCTGTCTTCAGTTCCTGTACACCGTACATAGACAATGCTTCCCGAAGGCCTGAGCGTGTGGCGGTTGATATGCTGAGCAGTTGTGTGTTTTGCTTTCTCCTCCACAGGAAATTCCTGGAATAGCCCTGGTGACAGAGGAGATCCCTTTGCTTCTGATGAAGGTAAATCACTTACAGTGAGGCGCAGGCATAGCGCTGTTTAACTAAACCTCTGCTGTCCCCAGTGGCCACGACAGGGACTGCAGGCTGCTGGTGGGCGTGGCCAAGGCAGGACGGCTCTGCAGAACCCTCTTGGGCTGGAGTGGTCACTGGGTCTGGTGTCACAGCAGCTCTTAGGAATGCTCGTTGAAGTTAGAAAATTACAGGGCTCCACTACAGCCGGGTCCAACTAATATTTGTCGCAGTGCCTCCAGCCAGTAGTGCAGGAGTTTTTGTGAACTATCTTGAGATAGCTGGGGAGTTGTTTTAACTTCAGTTGGAGTCACTCCCTCAAAACAGCACAGATACACAGTCTCTACCTTAAAGTGACGGAGGTCCTGGGCGCGGGGTCCTCTCACTTCCGGCTGCTTCTGAGAACAACCTTCCTATCTCTCCGCAGTGGCTGGGGCTGGCTGGCTGGCCGTGTGCTCTTTCCTGCACACGGAGCTGGGGCTATTAGTGCCTTCCTGCAGTCTGTGGTTTCTGAGCAGTCTGGGGCACAATAGAGAGGGTGGGGCACGGAGAAGAGCGTGGGCGAGGAGTTACAAAGGCGGGGAGCCTTGCAGCACGGTTTCCGTGAAGCTCCGCTGTGCTTGGAGTGCCTGGCGGGCAGTAATTGGGACTGGGGTGCGCTGGGAGGTCTCAGCTCTGCAGCCTGCAGCTCAGGGGACCCTGCCTTTGATTTGCATTTGATACTTTTGGATCCTTGCAGGCCATGGCTGGGGGATCAGACCAGTAGACCCATGTCTAAGGTCACTGCGATTCCCTGTAACTGTGAGGGGGCGGGGTTAGTGGCTCTAGAGTTGTCTCTTGAGGAGACACTGGCCAGTTCTCTCTAGGCAGATGTGTAGGATCTCTGGGAAGCCCTGCTAAGGTAGGAGGATGCAGGAGAAAAAGAGGTTTTATTAATAGTTAAAAGGCGTGGGGCCAGGGAACCAGCTCAGGGATATAAGTACCTGCCTGGCAAGTGCAAGGTCCTGAGTTTAATCCCTGGTACTGGAGGAAAAAAAAAAAAAAAAAAAAAAAAGCGTGCCAGACTGCTTTGTCCCTTCACTTCGTTGTGTGTGTCTTTCCCACTAGTTCTAGCAAATCCACACTGCATTTAATAGGTAGCAAGTGAGTGAAGGGAGGGGGAAGAGCCAAAAACCGTCGCGCAGTTCTGCAGTCTCTCGAGTACTGACTGTTCCCTTACTGCGTTTGGTCTTTGTCGTAGAAGCACATATTTTACCTAGAAGTAATGGGTGAAACAGAGATTTTTTTTTTGGTAAACAGTACAAAATAGAACATACCATGAACATTTTTCACGTTATCACATAAATATGGTTTCTAAGGAGACCCTGTAGGAGTTGCTATCCCAATTCATTTAGTGAATCTATTTTTGGGTATTTAGTTTATCACTAGATATCATTTACTTTTTTTGTTATTAGAAATGTGTCGACACTTATGCTTTTGCGTGCAGCTTCTCTAAGGTTAAACGCCAGCAGTACCACGAGGTAAAAGACCATGACAATTTTTTTATAGCTTTTCTTTCTTACTGCCAAATTAATAAAATTATGGTAATTTAGACCATCGTAAGGATTTATGAGTTTACCAGTTTGACTATAACTTCATCAGCATTGTTTATCTTCTCTAAAAAATTAGGGGTAAACACGTGATGGGGTGGTCCTCTTAAATTTGTCATTCATTGGCATATTCTAAGAATACCATGTGGCTTTGCTTAGGCAGAAAGTAACTTATTTTTGCACTGGTATGTGTGTGTGTGTGTGTGTGTGTGTGTGTGTGTGTGAAAGGGAGAGAGACACCTTCTGTTTTTCCTCCTTTGACACCGTCCCTTTGCTCTTTCTCCTGTCCTGGACTCATCTTCAGCACTGGCTGCGCGGACGCTGCTTCCACTGACATTCTCATCCAGGTCTGGGGCCCTTTGGTGGCCTCATGTGTGTTCCTGTGCTCACAGTTCTCTAGGACCAGACTGAAGGACAGTCACTCTCTCTGACCCTCCTCTTGGAGATATGGTGCTCTGGGGAGGCCTTGGCCACAAGACAGGGTGGTATTCATTCAGGTGCGACAGCCCCTCTGGCCTGTCCAGCCATTTGGCAGGAGAGATGCCTCTTGGTGCCTCCTCCTCCTCTGGCCCTGAGCAGGCCCCTCCACTTCCTTGTCTCTGCCGCCACGACATCAGTCTCTACACCGCTGTATTTGCTTTTGACCCACTTCCTCTTACCCGGGTCCCAGCTGAATCACACTATGAGGGCTTCTGTCCCCCCTTTCCCATGGCTGCACCACTGTCACCTGCAGAGCGGGCGCAGACTGCTGGACTCTCCTGGAGTAGGCGACCCATCTCCTCTGACCGCCCTGTCCCTGAGGAGCCCACAGGGGATCCCACTGCACGACACTGCCCGCCTGCTCTTTGGCACTGACTTTAGTGTGAGCCAGAATGCTTTGCAGATGCTTGAATGTATCTCTGTGGCCTCAGTCTTCACCGTCCCCCAAATTTGTCCATTAAAGTCCTAATCCCCAAGAGGATGGTTCTAGGGCCTGGGGGTTGGCAGGGACCTCATGATTGGGATTAGTGCCCCCACTTGTCCATTCTGTCACGTGATAGTGTGGCGACAAGGGGCTGGCTAGGATCTGCCAGTGCCCTGGTCGGGGGCTGCTCCTCTTAGGGACTGTGAGGCATGAACACTGTCATTTGTAAGTCAGCAGCATACAGTGTTTTGTTGTCACTACCAGAATGCACCGAGCCATGTGTGAACACGTGGGGGTGGAATCAGCCAGCGAACTAGAAGACTGTCACCTAAAGAGAAGACTTCCTCTTTATAAATTGTTCTTAAAATGATTTTTAAATATTGAGACAAGGTCCATATCATCAAAAGTGGCTTTCTTAAGAATGGCTTAATCCGTCTGTGAACTATGATTTGCTCTAGGGAAAGAGCAACTTTGATGAAAGGTTAAAAGTTGTGCTTGATTTTATGAGAACAGAAACCACTAAAATTAGTCAGCCACAGGAGTGTGTAGAGATTTTAAAAAAGGAAACAATAGCTTGCTCAAATAGGAAGGAATGAGCATACTACCAGTGGAGAAGTGGGATAGTTTTTATCAAAGTACTTTTTTAAGCCAGGTATCTTTAGCACACTTAGTCACTTTTTTAGAAATTACCAGAACCTGCCCCCAAAATTGGTCAGGCCCGAGGGGGTGGGTTAATACCCCAGGTGTGGGGTCCTGTGGGGAGGTTCTGGTATCTGTTAGGGGTCTATTATATGCTGCTTCTCTTAAACTGTGTTTAATAACTTTTAATTACACCAAACAGGAGTATGATTAATTATTCAAGGGGAAGTGTGACACTCCCTAATAAAAACAGGTCCTATCATTTAAGTCAAAGATTTGTTAGAGATACAAAGTATTAATACAACCATAATGCAGTAGCTTATAATGTTTGGCGATTACAGTGGCTGCAACGATGTAGCACTGTTGGAAATGTCAGTTGGTTATGTGAGAAGTAGATTCCCCCTCAAGTTCATCTTGCACCTAGTTTTGGTACATGAGTTTATAGTGAGCACTGTGAACATCGTAGGCCCTAATTTTGTGGTGCTGCCGAGAAGCCTTCCTCGCCAGGAGCAGAGCCTGGGCCTGCGCCTTCTGTAGAGCTGAGCTCCCATGCACGCAGTTCCTCTCCCTGAGCCCAGAAACAGGGCCTCGTGCTTTTGTTCCTCGCGGGCCAGCCCTAAGGCTGTGCCACTTGGCTTCACAGTTCTGGTTAGAGACGCATTTAGGTTTTAAGGTTCTCGGGGTACAGGCATGGAGAAAGCCTGCTGTGAAAGGAGTAGTTTAGACAGCGCGGTCAGCCTGCAGGTTGTGCTGGGCCCGGGTAGCTAGAAATGCGGCCTGTGAGGTCACTAGCAGTTAGCGTTGTTATGTGACTTGTGGCGATTTTCTCACTACTTCAGTGCAGACTGTGACGGGACAAGGGGATGAGGGGACAAAGGGAACAGGTGTAGGGGTGCAGGGCGGCCCAGCCACGCCTCCGGCACTCTCCACAGCGGGACAGACTGGCACGCCATGCGCCAGGAGTTACACCCTTGTGCGCCTTGGTGAGCAAAATACTGCAACTCCAGAGGCTCGGACGGCAGGCTAGGTCGGTGTGTGCTGTGAGGACAGCACTCCGCACCGCTAGGCTGACGTGTAAGCTTTTCCATTTAATTATTAAACTTGGATTCACATTATTTCGTTACGTAAGGTGAATGAATAGTTTGTTCATTATGTGCATTAACTACATTGTGGTTTTCAGATGTGCCCCGAAGCAGTTCCTCTCTGCTCAGCTTGACTCCAGCAGCCAAAAGGCTGGGTATCCGTACCTTGGTGCCAAAAATAGGTGATTCCAGTTTTAAAAATCCAGGCTATTAAAAAGTGGCTCATAGAACCACCATCTGGGCAAGAAAGAGGGACTTTTTCTGCTAGCTATAGGGAGGGAAGAAGAGGCCCATCCACATTCAGACCTTCAGTCTGCGGCACACAAGTCTCTGGAATTTTAGTTGTCTGTGCTGAGGTGCTCCTGCTGTGTCTCAGTTTAGCTCACTGCCGTAATGTCTACACTGTCTGTCTGTCTCTCTTTCTGGTACTGGGGAATAATATCAAGATCTTTGCACTGAAATACGTCCTCAGATCTTTACAAGAAATTAAAAAAAATTTTTTTTGAGATAGGCTCTTGCAAAATTGCTAAAGTGGGCTGGGTTCGAATTTACATTCCTCTTGCCTCAGCCTTCCAGTGTACTGGGATTA